CAGTTTCCACGGTATGCATCCGATGAAGTGAGCTGTAGCTCACGAAAGCTCATGCTCAAATAAATTGGTTAGTCTCTAAGGTGCCACAAGTCCTCCTTTTCTTTTAGTGTTGCAACTGTGCACATTGGAGTTCCCAACTGAATAATAATTCTAACAGTACTGGGCCTGATCTTGGGACAAGAACTTACCAACCCCCAGAGTGTTACATGGGAATTCTTATGCAATCAATATCATTAATATACAATCCATAGGTCAGGCGACAATTTGGCAGAAGAGGGGCTGGAGAACTTCTGTCCAGCTGCTCTCTGCTCCTGAGAAGGCACAAAGGCAAGAGCAGAAAAGGGAGATACTGGGGCAGAAAGAGGAAAGGTCTGGGAAGAGCAGAGGGAACAGGGGAGGGCAGCAGGGGAAAATGGGAGCAGAGATGGAGTGCACAGAGAGGTTGCTGGTGTCTGTAGTTTACTACCAAATACGCCGATGCTGAGCCAAGTTTGCTGCTTCACAGGACTGCTGAAGAGCACTTTAGAAAGGATGAAGGCAAACTTGGAATTGGGAAAGCCATTAGAGCAGGTGTGTCTGTTACGTATGGATATCCGTCTGTTGTCACGTAGGTGAATCCCGACCCCTTTGTTCTCAATTGCTTCATTTATATTGCTGGCTCCAGAAGCCGGTACTATGCTGGGTATACCAGTGGTTCTCAACCCGTGGCCCAATCAGCACACAGCTGCGGCCCATGTGACATCCTCAGGGCCATACAGGTAGTATATATATTGTGTGGATGTGACCAACATAACACTTACAGAGCTACATATTTGGCCCACAATGGTAAATAGGTTGAGAACCACTGGTGTATACCATGGTGATTACACACTAGTAGTGTATCTATGGCTCCAGAGGTTTCTACTGTATTACCATGGTGTTCATTCACTTACTTCACTGCCTTCAGATGATACTGGCAGTATCCTACATGGCATTGCTGGTAGTGGGTGGTATGTCTACACTGCAATTAAAAATCCATGGCTGACCCGTGCCAGCTGACTTGGACTCATGGGGCTTGGGCTGCGGGGCTATTTAATTGCTGTGTAGACATCTGGGCTCGGGCTCAAGCCCAGGTTCTAGACCTCTGCAAGCTGGGAGGGTCCTAGAGTTCAGGCTGCAGTCCAAGCGGAATGTGTACACTACAATTAAACAGCCCCACACCCCGAGCCCTGCAAGCCTGAGTCAGCTGGCACGGCTCAGCTGCAGGTGTCTAACTGCAGTGTAGACACATGCTTACTCATGATGGCTTTCCTTTAATTTTGGTGAAACTGACCAAGAAAAATGCTCCTTTTCTATTATTCAGATTTGAATCCAATTAACTTGCCTCTATCAAAGGAAGCCAACTGCATTAATAAAATGTAAATGAAAACAGAGTTGTAGGCTTTCACTCAGAATGGGTGCTGAGATACTTTGAGATTTATTGGATGTGATGTGGTTCTCCCTCCCTATCTCAAAAACTCCTCCATAGCGAGAGACTTTGCTGACTCTAGCTGAATTTATTTTGTAGCCAGCAAAGATGAGATTTGTTTAGGAGAGTTTACTGTTGAAGGAAACAGGGAAATGGGCTGTTTGTTGGAATTCCTGGGCTGTTCTTCTAGACAACGGTACCTCAAAATGTGCACATTACACTGGCAATGTGTCATCCCTGCCATCTATAGCCTCTAACTACAGAGGCATTACACAGCATGAAAAATACATCTCTGAGCACCTGCATTCCATTTCACCACTTACTATTCTCATCAGGTCCCCTGCAATGCCTGCTTCAAGGCTTTGTACATCCCGTATGTGACCAGTAAATTAATAAGCATACTAAACTGTTTTGTCAGGCAGCTAGTTAGCTGAGTATCTCCTCTAAGTGATATGTGCTGTCATGTTCAGCAATTCATTACACTAAGCTACTCAAACAGAAGACCAGTACAAAGGAGTTCATGAGGCTTTAAAGTCTTCCCGGGTTGCATCCATCATTATGCATTTTCTCTGAGCCAGATGCAAACGGACTGAATGTTCCGCAGCTGTCATCGCCTCTCCGCACAGTTTAAGACAGCTGCCCCCGAGCTGAAGAGTAATTCACTTTTCATGATGTATCTCCAAAAGACTGCGCTCAGAAAGAATTTCATTTGGAGGGGAGCAGGCTTCTACTCCCGGAAAGAAGGAAACGTACTTTGCCGAAACACTTGATTTAGCATTCACAGCTGATTTTGAGCAGCCTTAAGTAGAACGCTGGCTCGGCCAGTGCAGTGATCATCAGCATGCATCTGAGAGGTGCACAGTTGGCCTTATTATAAAAGGTTATTAATGGCATTTCTTTGGAGGTAGTTGAAAAGGAAAGAAAATCCGTGATAGGGATGTACCATGAACCTGCCTCTGTCCAGGGCACCACATGGTAACTAATTTAGAGAGAAAATAAAGCCCCATGTCTGGTTCCCTAGCAAGACGCTGTTACTGATTCCTCCTCTGAGTAAAAGAGAAGGGCTGTATTAAATATGTCCCTCTCAGGGCCGTTTGGCAGAGAGAGGCAGGAAACTTCCCTGCATGTGCTACCCACATGGCAAGGTCGAAACGTGGCAGTGCGAACGGAAGCCACCAGGCGGTTATCCCATTTCTGCGCAGGCTGGACAAGGGAGTGCAGTCAGGGGAGCCGCCCCCCTGTGAATGAGCTAGTGCTGTGCCCCTAAAGGACTACATCTTAGGAAATACATGACGGAGCTTAGAACTGGTGCCCAGGTTACTGCGCCAGACCTTCCGCTGGCATACAATCAGCATAGCTCTGCCGAAGTCAATGCGGGCGTAGGCTAAACATCAGGGAAGATGTCCCAGCCGATGTATTAGCTGGCAGAATACTCTCCCAAGGAAAAGGCGCAAGCCTCATCACTTGGCACGTTTAAAACTAGGCAGATAAACTGGCGAACGATGTGAAAGGAACAATCCAGCATTGGCTGGGGACGGACTGGATGACTCAACAGGTCTTTGGCCAGTCTAATTTCTGGGGCAATGTCAGGAATCAGGGCCTGCAGCAGAGCTCGTTTCCAGGCAGCCTCATCAGGACAGCTGGTCTGCAGCAGCTGTCTGATTAGCCACGTAATCTGACTGGCTGCTGAGGCCAGCACGCCAGCTCTTAAGCCAGCAACAGCTCGCTGGCTTCTCAACCCTCATGCCCGCCACTGGGCCTGCGTTACCTTAATCCTGCTGCTCCTGCCTTGCACCCCGCCTTGCCTCTTTCCTGTCCCTGCCTCGAGCCCCTCCTTGCCTGATACCCTGTTTGCTCAAGCTCCTGACCTCCAGTTTTGACCCCCAGCTGTGGCTCCTGACTACGGACTCCAGCTCGACCCCCTGGCTCTGGTATCCAGTCTGTCCTCCAGTTTTGAACCCTGGCTCTGGTGACTGGCTCTGGCCACTAGGCCTGCTGCCCGTTCTGGCCACGAGGCTAGACCACCCTCATCCCCGTTACTTGACAGGAGAATCCCAAATGCACTTTCAAGCCCACATATGGGCCAAACAGAGAAGAAATAAAAGAGTTTCTGCTGTGCTGTAGGGTCCACACAGAAGGACTCTGTGACCCATGCACACTGCAGAGGAGACCATTGTGGTGGGTATCTAATTACGGCTAGACTCTGGCTGGTATGCAGTAGTACACTATAGTAGCATCTGCATCGCTCCCAGCTGCTTTCTTCTTCTTCTTCAGAACATCAGTTTTTCATATAAGAAAACCCACCACTCTAAACTCCTAGATGTGAGAAAATGCAACGACAACCACCTGCAAATAGCCTGAAACAACAGGTCCAAAAGGTGGGAAATAGCCCCATTCCTTTCAGTGGGTTCTAATGCAAATGTCCAGTGAAGATACTTTAAAAGCCTACATTGTTACCAATTTCACTGCTCATCAAAGCAGGTAAGACAGGAGACAAAGGATCACACTATGAAGATCTACAGAATCTGCTCCGAGTGACAGCTTGTTTTGGTGCCAAAGCGAGTGGGCTTGAGAGACACCACTGCTCACTGCGCCTAAGGACACACTGGCAGGGCATCCAACTCGCAAAGAGGAAGTCAAGCCCGAAGAGCCCAGCAGAGCATGGATGATCATATGTTGAACATTGGCATAAAAGCGGCATCTCATGTTGGTGCCTCCAGTGGGCGGAGCTTATTTTCTGGGCAGAGTTTGGAAGAGTACCACCACCCTTCCCACACTCTATTTCAATTCCTGATGCCCCCCCACAAGGCGGGGGGAGGGAAGAGATGGCCATGCCCTCGCACAGCTGAATTGCACTGGATGGGAGAAGTGAGCTTTTCCACTATTCCCATCCATAGCCTGCAGTAGCCAGGCACAAGCTGGTCAGCAGCCCCCAAAGCATAGGATGGGGCTGAGGATAGCTTCTCTCAGCCCTTCTGCACTCAGCACAGTTTCCTTCCACAGAAGCATGCTGAGCTGGGCCGTGCTCCAGCCCACTGCCTCTGGGTCTATGCTTCCAATTTTCTGAGGCTTTATAAACAATTTGCTTTGTAAACCCATCTTGGTATTTGTGGAAGTGCTGAAAAGGTCGAGATGTCAATAACATAAGACCTATACAACAGGATTGTGGCCATTTCAATCCCGTGCGTGGCACTTAGGATTCCTCCAGTGAGCAGCCAAAATGCAGGAGCTAAACAGACGAGATGACCCACTAGCTGTCCCTTCAAACACAACCAATCTGATGACGAGACGGGACGGGATCACATCCTAAAACATCTCCAGCTGTTCAGTGGCATGGTCTTATAGCTCAGGAATTCATCATAGCTCTTTAAACAAAACACATGACTAGGAAATTCTTGCAGTTGCTTTTGCTAAACAGAACCACATCGTTATTTCACAGGCAGTCTCAGAGCCACCCTCAGTGACGCTGTCTGATCGTAAACAACCGACACAGCTCTCCACAGCCCAGGCCAATACAAATACTTGGAAAATGAACAATAGAAAGTTACTCCACCTGGCACTTGCCATGTACGCAGAGGTCAGTCTCATAAGGCCCACATGGAGTACCATCAAGAACCCGGTCTGCCACCAGCACAGGGGACTCCTTCCCCAGAGGAGAGCAGAAGAGTTCACAGGGCTTATCTGAAAAAAAAATACACAAGACCGGCAACTTCATTCAGCAGCAACCGCAGCATTTAGACAGAGCACCAGAATGTCTGATGGAACAAGATGCATGAATATAGTAATTATGTAACATGGACTCTACACAACAACACAGACAAGTACATATTTATCGATAACTATAAGCGGGCTCGGATTCTAACCGCCTCAGCTTTAAGGATGCTTGACCCATTGTTTCCATTCAAGCCCATCATTCTCCCACTCCAAGATGCACTGTTTATCTGAAGATGCAGAAAGGGGTAAAAAGCAAGAGGTATGGGAGACTTGAATCAGTGGCAATACTTGTCATTTTAGACCTGAATGAGTAACTTTACAAATTTCTCCTTCTCTGTCTTCTAGCTTTCCCTGCATAATTCCAATGAACAATCCTTGGTCTCTAGAATGGGCGCAAGCAGCTCATTGTGAACATTTCATTTACAAAATTCAAGCGGTGCAAGCTAGTTCTAAACGGACACATCGATCGCGTGATTTGTTTCTCTTTCTTGACTGAGTGTAACTCTTGAAGCCACATTTCCAGTGAGAACATCTGTGTTCATAAATTTAAAACTCACTTTGCACAAATATTGGCTAAAATTTGCTTTCCTGCCAGCAAACTAGCTTGCTAGAAAGCAAACATATATTGCTGGAAAAGATTTGCATTATTTGCCCATTCTAGTAATAGGATATTATATCGTATATTTAGACATTTACTTTGGAAGGAACTGTGTGGAACTAGACGAATAATGGACTAAAAGGCTCAAAATATATAATTAACAGCAGGTGCCATGGCTCTTGGGAAACACACTGTATGTATTTGCAATATTCTCAGAGTAACAGAGCGAGCTGTTTCGATTTCCAGAACTCACTCCTGCTCTCTGCTGCACACGGACTGTATCAAAGGGTATGTCTATACTGCAACCACTTGGTGCGACTGGAGCTCGAGGTGGCACACCCGAGCTAGCTCGGATCCTGGAATAAGGAAGCTGCAGGGTGAGCTTTAGCCCAGGCTATGCTCACAAGCAATTATCTAGGGCTCCGGGTGGGTTTGTACAGCCAGGACTGAAGCCTGTGCTGCCATAGTTTCACTGTTCTGGGACCCGAGCTAGCTAGATTAAAGCTAGCTTGGGTACATCAGTTCAGGCGGCCATCACAGCCTATGACTGCAGCACTGACATACCCAGAGAAAGAACCTACTGACATGCTGATGTCGGCGTTGGCCTATACCAAAGTCCGCATCCTCCCCAGAGCTCGGTAGTGTTCAATTTACGAGACAGGAGGCCAGGTTCTCTGATACACTAAGGCCATTTGTATAGGTCCCTTCCTGCTCTAGATTCCCCTTGAATCAAGAACTTGCTTCTCTGCAGCCCATCTCTCTAGTATGTCTGAGCAGAGTTCTAATGCAAAGGAGAATCAGGGCTGGCTAGAGGTTGGTTCAGGTCTGTCTCTATTCTAATGCTCAAGAAACCTTCACTGTGTGGAAGTCTGGAACCAGAAAGACACGGGAGAAGGTGGTTTGGAGTTTTTTATATGCGTAAACCAGACCTGTCAGCACTCCAAGAATGCCAAGCCAACCTGCGCCCTGCCCAGCAGTCTTGCTTTGGGGAGGCGTGTCCTATCAGTGCTCAAAGTGCACCTATCTTAGGTGTGTCCTATCAGTGCTCAAAGTCCTTGCCTTCCCCCCACTACCCTCTCAAATCAAAGCAAATTTCTCAATTGCAGGATTTTGATATCATTTTCTGCGAAAGCTGCACAAGGACTGGCCTGCATAAGGGAGTGCCAGTCTGGCTGTTCCTGGACAGCCTCTGCTCCAGCAGCTGTGAACAACTCCGAGTGCCTCCTCTACCACGTGGCGGGAGATATTTCTAATTCACAGCCTTAGCTCAAATGAGCCGACCTCTCCATAGTGTATTAAGGTACGCCAGTGTACATTAGGAACCATACTGCAGGCAGAGGATCGGAGCATATGCTCCTCTGCACCTTTGTAAAGCTGCTCAAGTCAGCTGAGACGCTTTTGGTTTTTTAGCTCCTCCCGCCTTAATTTGCCACCAGGCCCAAGAATGGCAATATCCCTCCCCTCTTGCTGAAGGCAGCTCCCTCAGGTGTTCGCCAACACCTCTGGGAGTGCAGGTCAGAGAGGGGCTCTCCAATGCAGGGGGTTCTTCATGGAGCGTCCAAAGCACCCACAGCCCCTGCTGGCCCAAAGAAGTGCCCTAGCTGATTTCTGGCTGCTCCTTAAGCCAGACTGATGTGGCAGCCACAGCAATAAGGGCAAGAGGAGAATAAAAAATGTTAGCTCCTCATGTGGCCTAAATGGGTCAAGTATCCTGAATATTATTCTGCAAATGCTCCCTAATAGAAGTCCTTGTCCCCTTGGGGAGAGCTGGGGTGCTGACTCCATCAATGGAAACGGAACCCCTGAAAGGCGGCGGCAGCCCTTTAAAAAACAAACAAAAAAAAACAGAGCACACCCTTCCTATTACTGTGTGATGAGAGCCGAGGAATTCACAAAGGATGGCAACGGCACTGTTATGAGCGGGGTAGTGATGATGGATTTCAGGGAAGTCAACAGCCAAAGCACGGGGACTATATATCTCAGAAGCAGCCTTGCCAGCGGAGCCTTTTTATTCAGGAACCTTTGAGAAGTGCCGAGTTGCAATTTCATAGGCTGCAATTACTCCCGGCATCTGTTATTTTGCTTCCTTGAAACGAGCTTGTGAAATGTTCTAAACGGTTTATGGACGACGGCTGCTTCCGCGGAAGGAAAAACATAAGGATTTTTTTATATATATTTGCACTGTTGGGATAACAGAAGAACTCTTGAGCTATTTGCACTGTTAAAAAAACCTATATATATATATATATATATATATTCAAAAAAACTTAACAGTGCAAATAGCTCAAGAGCTCTTCTGTTATCCCGTTACCCCCAGTCAAATGGGAGACAGGTTGCCCTGTAGATGAGAGTGCTTCCCCCAGGGTTCTGCAGGAGGTCATGTTAGTGATTCAATGGGTGACATTTTCCCCTATGCATCAGCGTTCAAACTGTTCTCCAGCACAGCATCTAGGGTGCATCAGGGAGAGCCCAGCGTGGCATCTGGGTTGCACCAGGGTTCTAGGGTGCCGTCTGTTATAGGAAACATAAATCCGAGGATCTGACTGCAACAGCAACCGTTAGTCGGTGGATACTGGCACCCATGTCAGCTAACTGAGGCCAGGAAATAAAGTTCAGTCTCTCCCCCAGTGCTCCTGTGTGTCACACCCATGATTACCAAACACCGTTGATCAACCGAGAACACACAGCTCTTTCCACAAAGTTTTGCTATTTTCCTTCACTTTCTGTCCTAAGCAGCTTTGCAATGTCACCATGCCCAAAGTAAACTGGTGCTAGGTTCCACTCTGGAGTTGGTTGCCTCCACTGAGGGTAAAACCAGTTCCTGTCTCAACGGCTTGGAAAGCAATCTGTAATTTGTCCAGACGACTGTAACTGAGGTTTTCACTGCTTCTGCACATCAACTTCTTTTTTAAACTACAAATTAGGAAGGACTTTGGGCCGTGTTTATCTCCGCTGTAACTTCATTGAAAGCAACACAGTTACGCCACGGACCTCTTTGGCCCTATGCATTAAGCATGGTGTGAGTAAAAATGGCAAGGAATCCTGTGATTTGTACGTAGCATTGGATGTGGAGCTTCCTCAGAGAAGAAGTAGAGAGGAAGCAACCATACGTGATGTCAGTACATTAAATGAGCTTAAGAGCCAAGACCAATTTTAAGAGAAAACGTCCCGTCAGCCTGCAACGCTCACGAGGATGGGAGATTCACAGACGAGCCATTTGCAGAGAGACCAGGCCAACAGCAGAAGGGTTTGGACTGCATAATGCAGAGTAGTTGATGGGAATTGGATTATTCTGGATGGAAGAGGGAAATGGAAGTGGTGGGTGGCCAAGAAGGGTGGTAAAACCACACAGTGAAATTGTTAAGCAGGTTCTCACTTCTGCAAGAGACTAAAGGAGGCACGTTGTACGTGTATCCGAGCAGAAAGAAGCGAAGAACCAAGGCTGCTGGACCAATACTTTTAGCCTCCTAGGTGCCGAAATAATAATAATCAGGTGGACAAGCTCCTGGAGGGAACTGGGGTTGAGGAAATAGTCTAGTGGAGCCACTGAGAGGGATTTAAATAGGAAGCTCTGCAAACCAAACTACGAGAGGAAGTCAGGTGAAGAAAGGTACTTCTGGGGCTGAATTCTTTGAATGACTGTGATAGCTGAACCATTATCTGGACTAGGTCTAAGGCAAAAAGGTTCAAAACTGAATAAAGTGAGCTGTAGCTCACGAAAGCTCATGCTCAAATAAATTGGTTAGTCTCTAAGGTGCCAAAAGTACTCCTTTTCTTTTTGAAAAATTGGTGTATACAAATGAATTGTTAGCTTTACTGGTACTGCAGTGCAGGTTGCGTATTTGCTAGTTTTTAGGAACAAACGAGGCCTATAAAAGTGGGATGGGCTCCATCTGCACAAACAGGGCATGCATATACTAGCAATGGGGAGCTCTGTTTGTGGGGGTGGTAGAGATTAAACTAGCAGACAAGGAAGGAGGAGACATCAAGGAACCATACTGCAGCCAGCAAAAAGGAAGAAAGCTAAAATAAACAGAGAGGCGAGCAAGGCAGAGACAGTCTAAACCTGTACGGGAAGACTTTGGAACAGGAACTGAATACCTGGAGGGCGAACAGCTTTCAGCCCAGCAGTAACAAACCAAAGCAAAATTCCTAGGAGACCCTGGAGTTAACAAGTACAGGTGGAAGGAGATGTTTCTCTGAAACTTTTAGGTAGTGACATCTGGGAATTTGTACCCAGCCCTGAGCAATGGAAAACATTATAGAAATGGGGAAGATACTGAACAGCAGTGACAGAGCAGAAGGAATGGGGACTGGAACATGTCCTACCTGTTTAGGAATGGTTTTAGCATCAAATCCAAGAGCAACTGAAGGAAAGAAACAGACAGACGCTAGAGGCCTGATCCAAGGCCCACTAGAGAATCCAAGTGATTTTATTGGGCACTGGATTCAGACCTACAGGAATTAAGGTGAGAGAGTAGTTAATAAACAAAAACTCTCAAGGGCAGGAATAGGAGAACCAGGATAGGGCTAGAAGATGCACCGAAGTTAGACAAGTCGTTATAAGAGAAACTACTGAAGAGAATCACTTCTTACTCAAAGACGTGGGGATGCGCTTCAAGAATTCTTCCATAATCCCTGACCTGAAAAGTCCCTAGCTAAGGCCCGATTCTGCAAAGTGCTGGGTGCTATTCAGGAGGATCTGCACCTCCTGCAAGATCAGGACTCCAAGTAGCCAGTACAGCTTTAGAACAGCATCTGCTATTCCCCTACTGATTAGAGGGTTTGCAATCCACTGTCACCTCTGCCCTCCTTAGGTTGCTTGATAGCTGGGCTGGGCAGTCACAGGTCTCATTTTCAAGTAGCGATACCCAGAAGTACCTCCCCCCCACAGCCCCATCAGTGGTGTTTTCCTTGCCTTCTTTTGTGAGAAGAGGGGACTTGCAATATGTTTCTGATGCACGACACTGTTAATATAATTAGGCAGCTTTCAGCTAGAAAAGGGTTTTAAAAATCAATTAATAAATGGGGGATCCAGATGAGACCTTCAAAAACATCAAGTGGAGTTAGGTGCCCAAATCTCATAGAATTTCAATTGTTCTGGGGCATCTAACTCAGTTAGAGTTACTGGAAAACTCCCGCCTAACTGAGTAATCATTTTCAAACAAACCCCATTGGGGCTGGGTGTGAGCATCTCTTACTTATACAAAAGAAATAAAGGGCAGAAATTTTATATTATTCACTATGGCCCAAATTAAGTCCTGGCGTAAATGTTTGCAATTCCTTTGGAACTGCTGACACCAGAGCTGATTGTGGTCCACAGCGAATAATACAGCACATTTCTGCAGACTTTTTTTTTGCATAAGTAATTTCATGTGCTGGGATAACATGAAGGAAGTTTGCTGTTGTTGGCTTTGATGAGAAATGAGCCAAGACTGAAATATGTGAGCTGATGTCCAGTGTTAACCTTTTCTACCCACTGCAGGCGTCTCAGCTGTGCTGTGGGGCAGGCCTGGCTTTCAGCTGAGGGACTGCTATCATAGAAACAGCTCAGCAGCATTGCTTTCTGGGCAGGACAGGCCAAATTTGGCACAAACATCCCTTTTCCTGGTGGCACAGCAAGCAGTACTGGGGGACTCTAAGTGTTGGAGCACTGTGCATCAGACCTGATTTGTTGGGTGCTAACGTCTGAAGGGGACAGAAGGTGCCAGATGTGTAAGGGCACACAGCAGCTGAAGGTGTAATTTCCAGGTTGGATAGATGTATGCACACTAGCTTTGATCAAACTAGTGCACTATAAATAACAGCGTGGCTGTGGCCCAGGCTAGCCACCCAAGTACATACCCAGGGTCTCAGATAGGACTCTACTCAGGGGGCAAGCTGAGGCTACCCCTGCTATTTTTAGCATGCTAACTCGGTCAAAGCTAGCGCGAGCTGGAAATAAGGAGCTGCAGTACAGACATACACTCAGTGTTGATCAAAAACCCTGCTCTGCACCATTTCAGTATGGCCTTGAGAGGATCAGCTCACACGAGTGTGGCCTTGTACATTTATCAGCAGATGGTGATAAAAGGCACCTGTTTCTCCAGAAACCAGCTTAGTGAATCTCATCTTTCATATAACCTAATCGTTTCAGAATGACTGTTTAAGTCCGCCCAAGCACGTATCGAGACTTTGCCAAGGAAAATTGTTTCAGAATAATGACAAACTTAAATACAAGTAGATGTACAAACATGCTGAGGTGGGCAAGGAATCATGCAAGTAACATCCCAATGTGAATTCTCCTTCTTGCTTTCAGTTCCCTATTTTGCTTCTATTGCCTCATGTTAAAAATCATCAGAAAGCTCCAATTCCCATGGTACCTGCCTGTTCAGATGGGGACATTTTAATTAGTTCCATAACCTCTCCCAGTCTCCCAGTCAAGTGCTGTGGTTACATCCCAAGGCTGTCTGTAGAACTGGCCTGCCCAACAGATCTTGTTGACAGGCTAAAAACAAGGGAGATAAGATGGTCATAAGAATCAGGAATTCCCTTTAACTGCCCTTCAGATCTACCATCTGGGGATTACACCACAGCTGTCTCCGCTGACAAATGGGGGCCAGCAGGATCAATCGAGAAGGGCTCAAAAACCACGGGAAAAAAGTGGTGAGGAACTATATAGAAAATTGGTGAATTTACCATCAATGATGACAGCTGTCAAGAGGCTTTTCTTCTTGTTGGTATATCTGTCATGAGACTGGCATTGCTGGTCCCTGAAGCTAGGCACTCCTTTAGGGCAGGGTAAATTTTCACAAACTGTGTGTTCCACACTGGCTCCCCGGCAGTTCTTGCCTCCTGGCCCAGGGCTATAATGGGGAAGACAGACCAGTTATCAAGTGGGAGAGGCACAGGTAGTCACAGGTACATTGTTGCTTATCTTTCTCTGTCCAAGGCAACTAATCTAAGCTAATATATTGTGCCATTCCCCTCAGAGATCCCAACTGCACACTTACTTATGGTAGGCCAAATTCTGCCCTCAGATATTCAAATAGCTCCCACTGAAGGCAACACAAGCTTTGAGAGCACACCTTTAGACAGAATTTAGCTCTATGCTTCACATCTAACGGACTCATCAGAAACAGCCATTTGGAAACCAGATTAAAGCAAGGTCTTTGGAGATATGTGCTCTGTAGGCATAAATATAATGCTGCCCATACTGTATGTATTTTGGATGAGGTGTAAAACCAAGGTGCTGGTCCATTGTGGTCATTAATAGCCCACATGTAGACTGGTGGGGGAATGATCAGCCATACCCAAATCAATTCTCAGCCCATCCCTCAGTGTGATGCTTCACAGGGCTATCCACAATAGTGAGGCACCTCTCTACCACCTGCCCTTAATAAATAAAACATCTTAAACACGAAGGAGGATTTCTTGTTATAATACAGTCATTTATCACATCCTTTCTGAAGGATCATTTCCTTCTCTTTTAAGCACTTTTTCCCCTTGAGAAACAGGGAATTAAAAATATACAGCAAGAACAGTATGCATGGTGCTATGCTATGTGATCACAAAGAGAAGATACACTGAAATACAACAAATAGTTCTCTGTATTTTTTTCCCCAATCTCCACACTTCTCAGGACAGGTTTTCCCCCCATTCTCCCACCCCCATCTGGAACAAATGTAGCAATTTTTATTTTCAGCATAAAAGTATTCTTTTCTAATGTTTATTTCATCACTGAAAAAAAATATTACGGGTGAGCCCGCCCTCAGTTCCTTCTCCAGCCAAACATCTCTGAAGGCCCTAAAGCCTTTGTGGCTTTGGGATAAACACTGATGAATGGACTGATTAAGGTGGAACTCTGATAGAGCCTTAGGTAAGAATTTAGGGTGGGGATGAAAAGAGACCTTGTTCTTAAAGAACACCATAAAGGGGGGCGGAATCTGCCACCAAGGCTCCAATCTCCCCAGCGCTACAGGCTGATGTGATGTGGACCAAAAAATCCATTTTTACGGATAAATGCAACAGAAAACAGGCTGCCATTCATTCAAATGGAGGTATCAAAGGTAAGAGTACCAGGCTGAAGTTGCAGTTCTGGGCAGGATTTCTCATCTGTGGACAGAGAATCCCCAACCCCTTAATAACCACGGACAATACCAAATAAGCAAATATGGAGAATCTTTCTACTGGAGGATTGTGGCCAAATGGACCTTAATCAAACTAAATGATAACCCTAATTTCTTTAGATCCAACACATAATCCAGGATGATTGAGAGTGGCACCAGATCAAGCAGGAGGCAGTGACAACAATGCCAATGGAAGAATCTCTTCCATTTCTGCAGGTAAGTAGTGCAGACTGATCTCTTTCTACTTTTCAGTAACACCTGTTGTAATTCTAAAGAACAGGAGAAATGTAACCCCATAAACCATCTAGGAGCCATGCCCTGAGATGAAAAACTGCTAGGTTGGGATGAAGCACCCGACCAGCATCCTGTGACAGGAGATGAGGAATGGTCGGGAGCTCAAACAACGGTTGGACCACTAGGTGAAGCAGGTAAGGATACCAAACTTGTCTCGGCCAGGTCAGCACTATAAGGATAATTCTGACTCTGTCGTGTCCGATCTTGTTAATCTCCCTTTGTATCAGCGGTCTTGGAGAAACACATAGAACAGACCCTTTTTCCAAGATAGAAGGAAGGTGTCTCTTCAAGAGTGGTGGCCCAGACCTGCTCTTGAACCGAAAAGGGGACACTTCCTATTCCTGGAGATAGCAAAGAGATCCACCTAGGGCAGTCCCCACTTTAGGAATATACTGTGGAGAATTTAGGTGCCTAGCTCCCACTCATAATCCTGGGAGAAGTTTCTGCTGAGCACATTGGCTGTGGTGTTCTGTATGCCTGGGAGGTAGACTGCTGAAATTTGGATCTGATGAGCTATGAAACAATTCCATAGTTTCATGGCTTTGTAGCACAGGACACGTGAGAGGGAGCAGATGTGCTCGGACTGACTCAGAATTGTTCTGGGAAGACTTGTGTCTGGAGCTTTAAATTCTTTAAACTATACTGGGTGCTGCAGACACTCAGACCTGGTGTCTAGAAACACGAAGCAGAGTTTCCTACTTCAGGAATCTCACTTTCACAAAGTAACTGGGTTTCAGCAAACTCTATTCTGTAAAGTAACAGAGAAAAAGAGTGTGAGTGTGTGTGTGAGAGAGAGAGAACTTATAGCAGTAGTAAGCCAGACACAGCAGGCCATGTATTTACTGTACTCTTAACAGTGGTTCTGGCTTTAATCTTAAGATTTCATTAACACGTGAGACACTTTTTTATGAATTTGCTGCTAGGAATTTAAAGCCAGCAGCCCTTATTATGGGCATTATAATATAGTAAGGACTAGATCCACTAAAGTACTGAGCACCTCCTAGGCTTCCCCAAATCCAAACGAAGCGAGTGGGGGTTGAAGGAGGTTATCACCTTGCAGAATTAGGGACTAAGACAAGCATGCTGTATGGCTGAATGTAACTGGCGGCATGGGCCTGCCTCTCTAATTATGGAATAAAATGGATGTGCCTCCCACAATGGAGTGGCTCCTATATCAACAGGTGTCTCCGAAGCATGCATCAGGGGAAGAAAGCATGGGTGAGCTTTGGTTTTGGACGCATATTAAATATATTTTATTGTATATGTAATGTACAGTTTATAACATATGCAAAACTCTCTCTCCACGCAAGCACATATAGGGATTGTGCCATAATCACACCATACGTCTATGCAGATATACACATATATATATCTGCGTATGTACACATATTTATATTTATATAGGAGGCCCAATCGCTTTTTCAAAATTAGAGAGTTAGGAATATCCAACTGAACATTGCTCAGGGCCTGATTTTGGATACAACATACAAAATTATATCCTACACACAAAATGTACATACCCACACATATTTCAAAGACTGCTTTTTAATATAGACTCTCTGCCATGGTGACTTATCGGCAACATCACAGTGATGCCAGGTAAGAGCCACAAATCAACTTTGAGAATGAAACCTGGATCTGGATCCAAATTTTGTCAGTTCAGCCCATCTCTAATAAAACTCTTTGGAGCTTGAGTCTGGGTTCACAACTTTCTCAGGTCATTACAAGACATCAGTAGGCTAAGAAAGGTGAAATTCGAACCACAATGGGGATTTTAAAGATGTTTTCAAAAAAATATTACATAGTTACATAGTAACACTTGTCGCTGAGAACACAAAGGTTACCTAGTCTAATCTAATCTGATCTACCCGTATACAGAACTAATGTGTCTTACCTACATACTGTTGGCAAATCATACAAAATGCAGGTTCTGAAATGAAAATCTGTCTTCTATCTTGTATCTGTTAAACAGCATTGTGTTTCGTTTAACAACCTGGAACTACCTTCCTACCTGAACTCGTTCTAAAAAATATGTCTATATAGGGGGCTCACACACCACAGTAATGGGGCTAGACAGAACCCATGTTTGTTTACGTGCTGAGGTTTGTGTTCCTGAGGAGGTAGGAAATACAGTATCCAGGTATATATAATTCAGAAACTCATGTCCTTTATATAAAACTGAATTATGCTCGGATTCTAAAAATACAACTCCATTGGCATATGCACACAGGGGGTTTTCACTGCTGAACATAAAAAACAAAAGAAACTAACAAAAAACACAAAAAAACCCCCAGCAATGATCATACAGTCATATCCCTTCCTGTTTCTCTGCAAATTATTTTCATGTGTTTGCTGATTGCTTCCCTTTCTGTGCTTATCACAGTTTGTGACATTGTAGCCATGACATTTCCACCTCTCCAGACAGATTTTGTGCAGCCCTTCTAACTGGCCAGGGGAAGGGAGGGTCCAGCTGCTCTAGGGGCTGAAGGGGCCCAAGGTGTAATTTAGACAGCCTTAGGGGCCAGTCAAAGTTACAATAGCAGGGCTGTCATACGGGCTGTGGGACTGCCATACAGGCTTCAGCACTGTATGCTGTGAACCCATTCTGCCGTGCCCCTCCGGCCCCCAACACACCTACACCAGACCTTGATGGCCAGCCTCATGGCGGTCTTCCATAGTACCTGAACCAAGGGAATTCTCCCACAGCTGGAACTGGGGCTTTTAGGACTCCGTTATGCCACTCCACCCTTTTAGGCGGCATAAAGGGGCTGGGGCAGAGATAAAGATCACTCCCTGACTCTAATTCAGCATTGGTTTTTGATCCCCCCGCTCTTCCACACAAAGGCATTCCAAGCTTTGGGCAAGAATGGAAGACAGCAGAGCTCTAAAATTAGAACGTGCAGCCTGGGTAACAATGCCCTACCATGCAACCAGCCATAGGTAATTCCTGCAGACAGTCACACAAACTGTAGAAGTCAAAAGCCAAATCAAGCAAGTAAAGCAACTAGTTTAAAAAATACTGTGTCCCCCACTGGCTCAAATGTCAGCTGGCAGGAACACACACACACACACACACACACACACAAACAAATAAATCTCCTAGCCAATATTTTTGGACAGCGAATAAATCAGCTGCAGAAGACCACGGGATGCAGCCAGGAATATAAAGTGACAGAAGATCACATGTGTGTTCCCCACCAAGAATGTATATGAGCAAAAGAATTTTAAAATCAACATGCAATCTAGGAGGCTGCAAACCCTGTAATTTAATGAGTGACACAATGAATGGATTTAGGTTTCGTCAGCAGTACGGTTAAGGAGAGTTTCAAGCCAGCTTCAGCTGATAACAAAGAAGCCACACCGGTCTCTTGTAGAATAAAAAGGTAGAAAGTAAAATCAAGCCTGGGCTTTACAGAAATGCAATCGCAGCTCAGCAGCGTTTCTCTGAAGTGATTGTTGTGCTGTCCACAGTTTCAGGTTTCATTTAAAAAAAATATCAGTCTCTAGCTCTCCTGGTTGTGAAGAAGCCCTCCAACATAGGAACAGAATTGACTCTGCAGAGTGCTTTCAACAATAGCTATGCCAACTGCCCCACCCATCTCAGTGAGAGGTTATGATTCAGATGCCGAGCAGTGATCATTTAAATGGCAACACTGTTCATTGTTTTATCCCTCATACAAGGAAGGAGAGGGAGGGTCACAGATCTGCACCACATCCCCTAGATCAGTCGTTTTCAAACTTTTTTTCCTGGGGACCCAGTTGAAGAAAATTGTTGATGTCCGCGACCCAACGGAGCTGGGGATGAGGGATTCAGGGTATGGGAGGGGGCTCTGAGGTGCGGGAGGGGTCAGGGCTCTGGACTGGGGGTGCAGGCTCTGGGGTGAGGCCAGGGATGAGGGGTTTGGGGTGCAGGAAGGAGTTCCAGGTTGGGGGGGGGCTCAGGGCTGGGGCAGGGGGTTGGAGTGCGGGAGGGGGTCAGGGCTCTGGGCTGGGGATGAGGGGTTTGGAGTGCAGGAAGGGCTCCAGGTTTGGGGGGCAGCTCAGGGCTCTGGGGTGGGCCCAGAGATAAGGGGTTTGGGGTGCAGGGAGGAGTTCTGGGTTGGGGGAGGCTCAGGGGTGGGGCAGGGGATTGAGGCACAGGCATGGACTTACCTTTGGCAGCTCCCGGTCAGCGGTGCAGCCAGGGTGCACCGCTGACCGTGCTGCGCCCTGGAAGCGGCCAGCAGCAGGTCTGGCTCCTAGGCGGAGGCACGCAAGTGTCTCCACGTGACTCTCGCCCGCAGGCGCCCCCCCCCCAAGCTCCCATTGGCCAGAGCCAGTGCCCAGGGCAGGGGCAGGGCATGGAGCCCTATGGGCCTCCCGCCTAGGAGCTGGACCTGCTGCTGGCCACTTCCGGGGCACAGTGCGGAGTCAGAAAAGGTAGGCACTAGCCTGCCTTAGCCGGGCAGCACGCTGACAGGACTTTTAACGTCCCAGTCGGCGGTGCTGACTAGAGCAAGGCGACCCAGCGCCTTACATGCTGTGATCCAGTACTGGGTTGCAACCCACAGATTAAAAACACTGCTCTAGATGACGACTCATTCTGGTCCCACAAGTGGCTGGTGTTTAGGAGATGTCATCACTTATTTATCTTCCTGATTCAAACAGGTGGCAAGCCCAAGGACCAGCCATGGAGATATTCAAACCCCACTGAGTGGAGCCACGCAGCACCTACCATCATATTATGAATATCTGTCCCTCGCCCAATCTGAGTCCTGCATTCAGAAACCTCAAAGCACTTTACAAAGGGGGCTAAGGATCACTATGACCATTTTATAGATGGGGGAACAGACATTCGTCCCTCCCCTCAGCCCATCCAATCTCCACTCCTCTCCCAGCAGAGACCCTGGTCTGTGTGGAGAGGTCTCTGCACAGTCTGGTGCTGGGACACCAGCTCAGCCCTGACCCAGCCTGGGCACTGATCAAGAGGAAATACAGTTTCATTTTCATTCCAATCAGCATCTCATTTCACGTTATGTCTGTGTTTGACTTGGGGCAGTAGGACGCCGGAGATGGTCCCCACTGCCCTTGGGTTTAGCTGCCCACCCCAGGCCTGACCCCTTTTTGCCACCCTGGCAGCAACGTTTCCCAACATACCGCGCGTTAAAGCATCCTGAGGACAAGACGACTTACGGGGGATTGTCGCATTTCCGCTGTCTGAATCGGGCACCGGTGCCACACGTCCTGCTGCACATGCTCCACTGACTCCACGTGCTCCAGTCTCCATCAACGTGCTCAGGAATGGGAGTTTTACTGACGCATTCCCCAGCTCGGCACCACTGAAACACAATGAGGTTAGCACAGCACAGGCAAAGGCCCCTGATCCCACAGACACTTGTGCATGGAGTTAATAAGAGGATTCCCAAGCATACAATCACGCATGTGTGCAAGTGTTTGGAGCTTCAGAACTAAGGAAAGCAGGACACGTTTTGGTTACGGCTGGAAAAAAGGGAGAGACATGTGGAAAACTGAGCTTTGTCTTCAACCAATGTAAACCAAAAGGGTTTACAGTGACTGCAGGATGGAGCCCTCTGTTGTAACTTGCACAATAACACAGACGATTACCTCAGTAATTCATAGATTAATAGATTCCAAGACCAGCAGGGACCACTGGATCATTTAGTCTGACCTCTTCTATAATAGGCCATAGAACAGTGGTTCTCAACCTATTTGCCATTGTGGGCCACATATGCAGATCCCTGTGTGTTATGTGGGCTGCACCCACACAGTACATATATTACCTGTATGGCCCGGAGGACGTTCCATGGGCCGCAGCTGTGTGCTGATTGGGCTCCAAGCGGCCTACAGATTGAGAACCACTGCCACAGAACTTCCTCAAAATAATTCCTAGAGCAGATCATTTAGAAAAACATCCAATCTTGTTTTGGAAATTGGTAGTGATGGAGAACCCACCATGACCTTTGCTTAATGGTTAATTAGCCGCCCCTTATTTTCAGTCTGAATTTGTCTAGCCTCAACTTCCAGTCATTGGATCAGGTTATACCTTTCTCTGCTAGACTGAAGAGCCCATTGTTAAGTATTTGTCCTTATAGACTGTAATAAAGTCATCCCTCAACCTTCTTGTTGTTCGGCTAATTATGTAGAGCTGCTTGAGTCTATCAGTTTAAGGCAGGTTTTCTAATCCTTTAATCATCCTTGTAGTTCTTCTCTGAACCTTCTCCAATTTATCAACATCCTTCTTGAATTGCGGACACCAGAACAGGGCACTGTATTTCAGCTGTAGTCACACTAGTGCCAAAACCAGAGATGAAATAGCTTCTACACTCCTATTTGAGATTTTTCTGTTTATGCATCCTTATGCAAAGATCTCACTGGGCCTTTTGGCTGCAGCATCAGATTGGGAGCTCATAGTCAGCTGATTATCCACCACTACCCCCACGTGTTTCTTCAGAGTTAGCTTTTCCCAGGATACAGTCCCCCATTGTGTATCAGCTACAGTCTGTTCCTACATGAATACATTTACATTTAGCTGTATTAAAAGGCATTCTGTTTGCTTGCTCCCAATTTACCAAGATATCGAGATCACTCTTTATCAGTAACCTGTCCTCTTCATCATTTACCTCTCCCCTAATTGTTGTGTCATCTGCATACTATCAGCTGTAAACTTCATTCAGGTACTAGAACTTAATCTTCACTCCCTGAAGAAAGTGGGTTCAAGAAATTGTAACCAAACACAACACCTTCATTACAATGGTTCCTACTGCACATACATCATCATCACTCAGTTACACTCCTATATAACCTGAGTGATTCCAACAGGATTGCATTGGGTTGTAATTAAGGGCTGAATTTGGTCCACTTTCCCGATCCATCTGGGATGTAATACAATAAATATTGCTAAGCAAGCCACGTAAAGTGTACACAATTAAGAAACATTTGGAGCTAATGTATTCAGCAAAAGCACACAGGCTAAAATTCTTTCCACCACGTGCACTCAACAGTAAGTACCAAAGAATTTTTAATTGATTTATGTATCTTTCATATGCAACCAGAAAAAAGGTACATAGTTTCCAGCTTTAGCAACAACTCCCTAAATTACTCTCCTTTAACATACAGCATACGGTGAAATTTCAAGTCTAAAATCTACTGACAGTTAATGAAGTCAAGTTTTTGGGTAATGACTGACATGCAATAGAGACCTGCTAATACAGGTGTTTATTTTCTTTTCCATTAACCATTTTCTCCACCACTCTGAGCTATGGAAAGTCCAAATATGCACTAGCCATCTGGCTCAGTCTGCAGGGCCCACTAAACCAAGAAATATTCCTAGGCAGAGATCTTAAAGAAAAGAAACCTAACTGAACTGGAACTCATTATGAGCTACCCTATGTAACCGCATAATTGCATTGGCATTACTCTTGCCCTTCCTCCTCCTCCCACAAACTGTCTATTTAAACCTACCTGTTACATCGTATCTCAAGTTTAGGGCCAGATTGTGCTGCTCTAACTCACACTGAAAAGTAATGTACTCCTCAAAGAGTCCCACTGAAATGAATGGAACTGAAGAGCATCTTACTACACGACGAGTTACAGGTGTACTCTTGAGCAGACTCCTGTGAAACAGAGGATGGACTGAAGATTTCTGCTATTTGTACTGAATTATCACTAATTATTATTTTTTCCAAAGGTCTTAAATGTCTTTGCAAACATCAATTAACCCTCAAGACATCTTATACAGTAGCAATATATTAGACGAGTTACAGGTGGCCCTTAGACTGTACATTCGTCAGGGCAGGGACTACCTTTTCTTCTATATTTGTACATAGCACACTGGGGCCTTGATTTCTGTTGGGATCTCCAGAGGCTACCGCAATACGCATCAAAGAAAAGAAAAAGAATTTAATGTCATTTAATCCAGCTGTTTGTACAAATCAATCAGAACAAAATATGGGTTTATAAGTAAATATTTCACGTCCTGGAAACGTCAGTCCACAGACAACATCATAAAAAGCAAAACAGGTGCGGAGCATTTTGATTACCTTGTCTGCCCCACATTCTGTGCCATCCAGCGGGGGATCCAGCTTGGTTTTACAAGACGTGTCTCCTTCCACCAGGCACCACAGCCCAGCACACATCAAATGCTGCAATCACAAGGCCAAGAAGTGCGGTTATTGCTTCTGGAGAGGTCAGCTATCATTATGGGATACACTGCAAAGCTCAGTCAGTCTCTCTAATGTGAATCCAGAGGCATCTGGTTGGTTTTTGATCTATTATTTTTTAAGGAGAAATTGACGCTATATGAGGGGGGACGGGCTGGAAACATGAAAGATCAATGGATGCAGATGCATGAAAAAAAGTGCATCATTTAAACACATTTCTTTTCATAGGAATAGATCAGGTACAATAAACGAGGAACGTACAAGGGAGGAATAGACTAGTGCACTGCTATACCAGTCAAGCTACATGCATGCCTGGATTAGCGAGTCACCTCATTGTTTTTAACAACATACAAATAAATAGAATATGGTATACTCGGCAAGCCCTGCTGAGCTTCTACCTTGCCCAATCAACTGGCAGTTTCCCAAAAGTTTCATGGTATAAGCAGGTCTTGACAGAGGAGCTGAATGAGGTCAGGGCTGCAATCTCATAGTCTAGTTTGGAGAGAGCGTTCCATGCAGCATGGGAGAACGCATGAAGGCCATTGTGTGAGAAACAGACAAAAGAGCGATAGTTGGCAGGGGCAACGCAATAATATAAAAAAGCAGATAAGCAGGGAAGGGCAGATGTATGAAAGGCCCTGATGGTAAGAAGAGGCATCTTGAATGTGATGTGTGAGAGAAGGAGGAACCCAGGAGATGTGAGAGAACCAGCAGAAAAGAGTACGTAGCATCTTGACACCAGGCCTGAAATGCACTCTGACTACCATTAACACGACTGATCAATGGACATTACTGGGATACTGATTTCCACTATATGCTTGCGTGACCCGTCATGTCAGAAAAGTTTTCTGAATCTGAGAAAAAAAAATCCAAGAAAGAAAGGTCTTTAGATCTTTCACATTTTCTGAAACGTCCACCCTGCTCTGCAACCTGTATAAGTGGATGATTTGAATAGAAGGTTCTATGTTTGTGCATATGCACACACACACAAATTAAAATAAATAAATAAAAGCTATATTTCTTTTCACTATCATTCACATTTCACTGTAATGGTAAAAAGATGAGAAGCTTGGCTCTAGTATCAGCTGGTCTTGTCAAGATTTATTGAACCTCCTTAAATAGTTTGAGTCAACACACTTGAACCTTTTGATTCTTCCACAGCGTAATGTGTGTGCAGACACATGTTGGTATGTATATACCAAATATGCTTGCACGGCACATGGCGTAATGAATGGAAGAGAGAAATCCTGCCATAAAGGGTGATGGGGTTGAAAGTACTGAAAAACTGGTTATCACAGCAGTATCTACATCCTGTTTTAACTTTACATTTTCTTCTGGAATGAGGATTTTGCATTATTTAAAGCAAAAGAACATTTAAGGAAAGCTACAAGCACAGCTTGGTAACAACTGTATCTGCCATCAGCAGCATGGAAGTGCAGCGCTTGTTAAATAAAAACCAATCAAAGAGTTTTCATGACATCCACGTACTCTTGAGCAGACTCCTGTGAAACAGAGGATGGACTGAAGATTTCTGCTATTTGTACTGAATTATCACTAATTATTATTTTTTCCAAAGGTCTTAAATTTCTTTGCAAACATCAATTAACCCTCAAGACATCTTATACAGTAGCAATATATTAGCCACATTTTATGGATGGGTACACCAAGGCATGGAAAAGTTAACTCACTGCCAGACAATACACAGCAAGTCAAGAATAGAATGTGGGAATTCCAAATCCCAGTCCCTGTGCAAGACAACCCTTCCTCCCTGTTGGGTTTGCACAGGATTTGAAATCGGGTTGATTAGCTGTCCCATTTCATTGTCAGAAAGTGACACGCTGCTTGCTAGCAATAAAACCTTTACACCAGCCAATATATTTTCCTTTACGTCTAAGATACTGTATTGAATTAACATATCTTATCGTATTAGGGTTTTATATGACATAGTGGCAGCTAGAACACTGCTGAGTTATGAAGACTTATAGATCACATTTTACATTAAGGTTTTACTTATGAATGGTTAATAAAGGGCTGATAAATAATTAATAGAAATATAAGCATGTTACAGACATTAGTTACAGATTATTTAAGCACAACAGTAGAAGGTATTATACAAACACTTACAAGCTATGGTTTTAAGCAACCTATTGACCTGGTGGACTTTACAAACTATACCAGTTGATTAGTTATTTATTAAAACATCTATTAATAATTTATCAACCCTTTCTAAACAGAAGCGAACTATAAAGCATGACCGACTTTACGAACAAGAATTCATTGTCCCAACAGGCTCACTGTTCTCTCTAGATGACTGTGGGCAGGGATGTTTCCAGAGCAATGTCTGTGACTGTCAGATCCAAATCACCGTAGGGTAAGACTGCCAGCTGAAACAAAGGGTGGGTGCTGAATTTAGGGATGCAGACAGACTGGCATCGTTTTGATTTAGGTGTGCTTCGGCCCTTCTCCTCCAAGCCTGGGTAGCTCACTATACATAAAGGTACATCTACATGGCACACTTCTTTCGGCAGCGTGCAGAGTACATTCACTGCTCAACTAACTAGCACAGCAGTGCAGACAGTGAGGCACTGCTTGGGCAAGTAAAGACATGCCTGAACCCTGTGGGCATGCACCCTATACGGCTCTCTACACACCCAAGCAGGGCCTTGCCTGTTTACACTGCTATTTTTAGCTGCGTAGTATTCTGCTGCCTCTCTACTGCTGGCATCTTTCCGCACCACAGGGAAAGGCTCTGGCGACAGAAGCAGTGGGAAATGGCTCCAGCAGCTGCTGCCAGAGCCTTTCCCCGCAACCGCCCCACAGCTAAAGCCTTACACTGACACTCATAGCTACATACCGCCATGTCGATGCAGCCTGCTTTTCACTGTGGCGTGTAGCTACATGTACCAGGGCTTTGGAGCTGTGCTCCGGCTCCGCTCCAGCTCCAGGCAAAAACCTGCAGCTCCACTGCTCCAGAGCTGCTCCGCGCTCCAGCTCCGGGCTCCGCTCCAAAGCCTGGACACATATCCTACATGCTGATGCAAGTGATGTGCAGTGTAGACGTACTCATAGTCTCACAGATTTTTAAGGCCGGAAGGGATCATTACGTTCATCTAGATTGCAAAACACAGGCCAGAGAACTTCATCCAGTGATTCATGCATCAAGACCATACCTTCTAGTTGAGCAACAGTGTATCTTTTGGAAAGACATCCAGTCTTGATTTTAAAGATTTCATGTGATGGCTAATCCACCACATCCCCAGCTAAACTCTTCCAATGGTTAATTATGCTCACTATTAAAAAATTGTGCTTTATTTCTAGTCTTGCATTTGCCTAATTTCATTTCCAGCCATTGGATCATACAGTCTATGTATATTACACAGCGCTAAATCCTGCTCTTAGATGTACAATTGCGCACATGGACAGGGGAAAGAACAGAAAGTCAGAGAAATCTAGCAGCCATACATATGAATTGAGTTGCCAGCCAGAATTCATCCAGAGTTCAGAAGATGTGGTAGGCAATAAGCTCAGCTAACACGTCCAGTGATGTACCATGAGCTGGGGGATCGTTGGACATAGCTAACCCCAAACAGGTATGTGTGTGTGGGCACAATTTGTTGCAGTGACGATACCAAAATACAATTCATGGATAGGACTGGCACAAATATTCACAAATCAGACACATATGCTTACATAGAAAAATACTCTGAAAAAAACCTCTATCATCAACATCAACCTTCCTGAAATTTCACAATTGAGGGATGGAAAACAGGATTTTTATAGAAGCCTTATTTTTGACTCCTAATAATAAATGCAAAGCATACTTCAGGAAAGAGCTATAGAAACACACAGTAACTACACTGCAGCTCTGTGTCCTATTGCCACACCATCACAAATCTTAAAATCCCATGCGTCTATGCCATAAAGACACTCAGACAAAGATTAAACCATCAGCTGTGGTGCTTTATCATGTTCAAAAGAGATCAGATACCCTCTTCAGCTAAAATATAATCCCAAACAAAAAGTCTCCATTAAAAAGTCATTAGCATTCAGTGTTGCTGGGGACTATTCAAATGAGAAATGGCTGGACTTGACAGAAAAATTGCTTGTATATTTGAGTGACAATTTAGAGCACAGATTGCTGTACAATGTAGGCCATGAAAATTGCTATACTAAAGTTAAATTGTAATTTCAGCATTTGGCACTGGAAAGCAGGTCTGTCCGTGATGCGCAGTCTCCTCTCTGAATAGGAAACTATTCAAGCGGTTGGGAATTTTCTAACACAATTATTTTTTCATTTGAAAATGTCAAATTGTCAAAACCAAAACTGTTCACAGGAAAGGGTCAGTTTCCTCATTCAAAAAATTTGACAAAGTAGTTTTGAAACTGTCAAAACATCTTTTCGTTTTGAAATGTTACGTAGTTTACCCAAAAAAAATAAGGAATTTTTTAAAAAAGGCTGAAATAAAAATGAAACATATCAAAGTGACCGAAAGGCAACATTTCAGTTGACCCAATCTGGAAAAAAAAATTCGATTATAAATTCATCAACATTTTTGAGATTTCAACTTTTTCGACTCACTACAGGTTGGGGAAAAAATTAAATCTCTCAAAAACTCAAGTGGGATGAGAAAATCCATAGCATTGCATAGCACTAGAAACTATAGTCAAAGAATGTGCATGTGACACACTGTTAGGAAGCATCAAGCCTGAGGAGGTGGTCCAGCCACAAGAGAATTACATTTATTATTACAGGTGTTAGAGTGGTACCCAACTGAGACTGGAGCCTCATTATGCCAGGTGCTGTACATACACTTAGTATGAGACAGCCCCTGTCCTATCAAAACTGACAAAGGGTGGATAAAAGGAAGTATTATCCTCACTTTACAGATAGGGAACGAAGGCGCAGAGGGATTAAATGACTTGCCAAAGGTGGCAGAGGGGGAAATTGCATCTAGATCTCCCGTGTGCCCAGTTTAGGGCTT